ATTGTCATTTCTCACTGTCCAGAACAAAAGAGTTCTATTAATGGCAGAAAATAAAACAGTAAACAGTATTGTAGTTAATGATAAACTTTACGTTTAATATACACAACCGAAGTTTTGTATATACTGTTTCATAATAAAATGATAAAATTTTTATGTTCTTCAAATCGTTTCTGAATTTTAATACTCCGATAAAATTTTTATATCTTCAAATCAGAAATAGAAAAAATCGGGCGGAGTAGAAAACCACAAAGGTTTAATCTCCAAATCAGAATATAGATTACAATATATTAATAATTTTCTTAAGATTGTTAGTAATCTGTAATAATATAATATAATATTACGAAATAGTAAATTTCTATAACATAAAATAGAAACAAGAAAAAACAGAAATAGGGAGAAACTGGAGATTATCAAAAACTAGAATCAGTAAATATATTTCGGAATAAAATCGAGCACATTGAATGCACTGTGTGTCCTTAAGAAAATTATTTCCCTCAAGTAACCGAGGTGTTGGAATATTATCCTCCCAGGATAGAACGATTTAACTCACCAGAGTATCGATACTAAAAACGTCGGTGAAACAGCGAACCACTTGAAGGTTGTAAACCACACAATGATTTAATTATGAAGAAGAAGAAGAAGAAGAAGAAGAAGTTTAGAAAATTTCATAAGGAAAGATTCTCAGATCAAGACATATTTATAGTCATTTTCTGTCATTATTTCTGAAAGGTTACAAATTTTTCAGAAATAGCCATAGCTGTTGGAACAGGTGAGAACGATTCCCATGTAAAATATTCCGGAAATAATTGAAAGAAATTTTATCCAAAAAGATTAATCAATCAATCTTTGACCAAATCTGAAGCCAAGCAAGCAACGATGACGGCGCAAGGCTTACTTTCTTTCCAACCCATTTAACACCAAGAGAAGTATTTTCTCAATATAAGCACATTCACTTTTTTTTTCGCCACCAATGAGGGACACTTGCTCTTTCCAAAGCAACACGGAGCTCACTTTCTCTTCACTTTCATTCCTCCATTTCCCATTCACCAATCTTTTAATCCCAACAAATTACCACTTGGGTTTTTTCCTACGGCAAAAGCAAGGTAGGTTACCATCGAACCTTGGTCTTGCTTTAGTACTTCACTGTAAAGCGCTTCACATACATGACCCAGCCTAATAAGCAAAGAACTTGTATTAAGTTGGATTATGATCGAGTGAAATGAAGTGTCAAATACACCAAAACAGATTTAAATTAAATCATTACATCATTTCGTACAGATACATTGTTCTGAACATGGAAGGGGAGCCTTGGCGTAATTGGTAAAGTTGTTATCATGTGACCAGAAAGTCACGGGTTCAAGCCGTGGACACAGCCTCTTGCAGAATTAGAGGATAAAGCTGCGTACAATAGACTTTTGTGCTCCGGCCCTTCCCCGGACCCTATACATAGCGGGAGTCTAGTGCACCGGGCTGCCCTTTTTTAGGTGTTATTTAGGTTAATTCTTCTTCTTGTTTTCATTGTTGTGAATATAAGTGTACAAAGAAAACTGATAAACCGCGCCAAATAGATAATCCGAGTCAAATCGGAAAGAAAACTCAATCATAATTTGGTTTGGTATTGGAAAAAAAACGACTATAATTGGTTTGGTTTGGTTTGGTTTCAACTAAAAAAAAATTAAATCGAAACCAAACCAACCCGACATTACATTTATACAAATTTAAAAAATATTTATTGTAATATAATTTATAAATATTTCTTAAATGTTTCATAGATTTATCTTTAAACACATTATTTCAAGTTTGGACTTAACATTATTGAATGGTCCAATAAGTTTTATAGCCCATAAAAGTAGTAATTCAAATAAACTTCAAATCAATACTAATGCTAACAAAGGAAATTCAATTCAACACTAAAAATGAAAATAGTGTTGTATATCTATTTTTTTAGTTTTGTATTGATTTATAATAAAAATGCATAACTTAGTTTATTTTTTCTTTAGTGTTTAGTTCTGTAAATAATAGTATTAGTTGTACTTATTTTAGCATGACCTATATAGTACTTTAGATTATGTTAATATTTATTATGTCGTATTAGGTAGTAATATTTTCTTTATGGATTTTATTGTCTTTATTATTGAATATTTTAGTACAATGCTATGACTCATCTCATATTATTGTGTTATTTTCTTGAAAAATACATTATATAGTTGTATCCTACTAGAATTAAAGAAATATTTGGAGCACAACTTATATATTTTGTGCTATGGAGACGTACCAAGGAAATAATCCGAAAAGCCGGAAAAATAAACCCAAAAAAAATCGAGATTGAAAAACCCGACTTTGTTGGCTTGGTTAGGTTTATAGATTTAAAAATCTGACAACATTGGTTTGATTTGGTAAATAAAAAATCTCAACCAACCCGACTTATATACACTCTTAGTTGTGAACATGCAAGATGGGCCAAATCAAGATGAAGTAATTGGGCCTGGAGAGGATTTAGAGAAAACTACTCTCTATAACCCCTCAAAATTTTAATAGCTCATGTTTTTCCCTCATTGATACGAAATGGCCCTCTGGCCCAAACATATTATATCTAATAGCACGAAATGTCTATTTAGTATATATTTTGTATAGTGACAGTCTATTTTGTATATATTTTGTATAATGACAGTCTATTGTATATAAATTATATAGTGGTGATCTATTTAATATATTTTTGTATAGTGACAGTCTATTGTATATAAATTGTATAGTGGTGATCTATTTAATATATTTTTGTATAGTGACAGTCTATTTTGTATATATATTTTGTATAGTGACACTTAAAAAATACACTGTCACTCTTACAAAATATATACAAAATAGACTATTACTATATAATGTATATACAATAGACTTGTTATTCCAAACTTAATTTAAGTGCGTTACTATTTTTGTTATTCGATTTTCAGAGCAAAATCTGAATTCACTTTGCATAGTTCTAGGATAAATCTGAAACAACGCCTTAGCATCACTGTATCGGTCGGCGCGATACATAGCACCGATGATAGCATTACACGTGAATACAGTCGACAGTGTTTTTGAGAAAACGGCGTGACGAGCAACGTCAGTTGCGGATTCCAAATCCCCGGCGCGGATGAGAGACTGAACGTTACTGTGAAGGTTAATTAAGTCGGTGGCCGGTCAGTGCCGACGTGGTATCGGGAAGGCGGGAAAGAGGGTCGTCAGGTGAAGGAGATCCCCTCGGGAGTGGATCACGACGGAGAGCGTTGATTGGTGGTTCAATACGGAGGCGGTGCTTGCGACGACGACGTTCGGCATCGGCTTCTTCGGCTAAGAAAAATGCATATGATCGCTTAGGGAGAAGGAAGTTAGGGTTTTGAGGAGGTGGTGGTTGTGGTGTTGGGTGAGGATGAATGGATGGTATGATTTGAATTATGACAGCGGCAGAGAAACGGCGAAGAGAGCGGAGGAGGATGCCATAGAGAGGGGGAAGAGTGGCAGTGGTCTCGGGCTAGCCCTTTAATTAGTTGTGGGATATTAATTGTATGATTTATTTTGTGGCTACCTATTGTCATTAGTTTTTCCCGGATGGCTACACAAATGAATGAAACTGCAGTTATTGGACTATGTGAAATTGCGTTTATTGGACTATGTGTGGGATCCAAGTTGATAAAAGAGATCCCAAAAAATAATAGACAACAAATATATATATATATATATATATATATATATATA